GTTGTGGTGCTGGCAAAGAATGCTGAAAGTACCATGAACTGCTAAAAGAACTAACAGATTTGTCCTGGAGGAAGTGCACCCGAAATGCTCTTTGGAAGCGACAATGGCCAGACTTCGTCTCACCTACTTTGGTCATGTTGTAAGAAGGGACCATTCCCTGGAGAAGGATGTCATGCTTGGTTAAGGTGGTGGGTCGACGAAAGAGGGGAAGGCCTTCAATGAGACGGACTGACATGGTGGCTGCAATGATGGGCTCAAGTATAGCAGGGATCATAGAGCTGGCGCAGGATCGGGCAGTGTTTCGTTCTGCTGTACATGGGGTTGCTATGAGTCGGAAACGACTCGACGGCACCTGACAACAACAAGAACAATGCCTATGATATCAATATTTATGCATTCTGTTTCATTTTTGACAACTTCCAATTTTCCTAGATTCATGCTTTGTAACATTCCATGTTCTGATTATTAATGGATGTTTGCAGCTGTTTTTCCTCAGTTTGTGTGGGATGACAGCTGTTGCATTGTTGGAGACTGCAGTCAATGTCATGAGATAAAACAAAGTGTATGTGAACCAGTGTATGGAACATGAATTTGCTCTGTAAACTTTCACACAAATCACAACAAAATTTAAAAAAAAGACAACTTCAGGGGATATGTTAGGTTTAAGGTTTAAAGATTATCTCAGAGCAATAGTTTCAGGAGTTCATCCAGCCTCCATAGCTCCAGAAAGTTTGCAGTCCATGACAATCTGAAATTCTGTCCTACATTTTTCCCCTTTTGATCAGGATTCTTAAATGAACCTTTGATCAAAATGTTCAGTAAGAGTAACTGGGCACCATCCAGTTCTTCTGGTTGCATGGTAAAGGAGGCAGCTGTTCATGGGGGCAATTAGCCACACATTCTATATCCTCCTCCTATTCCTAACTCTCCTTTGTCACTCCAGGTCAATAGAGACCAATTGTCATGCCACTTGCAAGCTTTTAAGACCCCAAGCACTATGCAACAAACTAGAAGGTAGAACAGAAGCACTAAATATTTGAATAGGCCAATTAATTGGCACTTCCCATGAAACCCTGACCCTAAACCTCCAAACCAACGAACCAAATCCCATGAGGTGTTTGGCTGGACATAAGCAGCCTCAGTAGCTACTCTCTCTGTTTTCTGGTCACTGTTATAAATATGACTATCGCAGAAGGTCTGTTCTGATTGCTTTTAATTTTGAGAATGAGGATTGGAGAAAAGGTGGTGTTGAACACTTGAGAAAAGAGGAAACTGTGTAACCTAAGTTCCCTGTGATTCTAGTTCTCAAAATAGGCTGCAGGTTGCATACTGGAATCACCCAAGAAGTTTAAAAAAATACTGATACCTGGGTCTCTTTCCTAGAACTAATGATTTAACTGGTAGGAGGTGCTAGCGGGCACTAGGATTTTGAAAAGCTCTCCAGGTGATTGTGCTATACAGAAAAATTTGAGTAATTAGGGATACTCACTAAGATTGCCAGGTAGGACTAAGGACTCCCTTGGGAAAATGATCCCGAGTTAAAAGAGACTAGTTAGTACTGTAGTGTATTTTTCTCCATGCAGGCATGGAATAGGCAGAGAATTAGATTTAACCAAGGTTGATTTTTCCTTGAAAATAAGATATGGGGAGAGGGGACCAAGACAGTTGAGAATGTCTGCATGGGAATAATTATCATGAGGGGTGAAGGGATCTAAACTGGGTAAGGAGGGAAGCTGAAGCCATGAGAGAGACGAAGGACAGCAAAACGGTGGTAGGATTAACAGATTATCGGTCCTGAGGGAGTGGGAGAACTGTTAAGAGTTGGGGTACCAGAGGGAGTAAACTGGAAAGACATGAGATTATGATCAGAGAATGGAATGCTTAACACTGAAATGATCTGGCAGAGGGTGAAGGTCTAGGGTATGAGTATGCACGTGAGGAGGACAAGATCATTAGAAGGGAGTCAGACAAGGAACCCGGAGACCAGTAATAAAGACGTATCATCTTTATTAATATTGAAATCATCAAGAAATCAACAGAAGTAGTGTAAAAAGCTATGATAATAAACCAGGAGTTTAAGGAATGAGGAAGAATGACCTGTGGATCTGTAGATGACAACACAAAAGGTAACCGGGAGGGTTGGCAGACAATGGGCCTATAAGTTCATGTGAATGATCAGAATTCCCAGGTGTATAGTAGAGCTGGCAAGGGGCAAGGTTATGGTCATTACTTGGTCACAGCCAGCTACCCAGAGGGACCGAGTAGTTGATCCTGAGGGCTTGGGACCATAGTCGCAGGGGACATCAAGCTCAATTGGCATAACATACTATACAAAACATTGTTCCACCTACTACTTTGGCGAGTAGCGACTGGGACCTTAAAAGCTAGGAAGCTGCCATCTAGATGCAACAACGGGTCTCTCCTCATCAAGAAGAAAGAAGAAAACCAAAATTAATGGAAACAACCAGTCCTAGAGACTGGTACACCATCAGATCTGCAACCTATACAACTATGAGATCAGAAGAACTAGATGGTGCCCAGCTACCACTGCCATCCACTTGGAAGGGATGTAGGAGATCCTGCATAAAGAGGGAGAACACTGTGGTACAAAACTCAAAATCATTTGGAGGCAAAAAAAAAAAAGAAGGTTTGCTGGTCCAATAGAGCCTGGTGGAACCACTGAGACTATGGCCCCAAGCTGCCCTTCAGGTCTGGAATTGAACCCACAACTGTGGTTTCCAGCCAAACAAAGTACAGGCATGTGAGTTAAACATTTACCTCAAGTAGACACACGCCCTGGAGAGAACAATCATGGGAGAAGGAAGGGCTGCTTATGCACAGGGAGATAGCTCAGGGTGCAGAAGAGTATGAAGGGATGGACACTGGGAGGAGGTAACTATGGGGAGGAAGTGGGAGGGGAGCTGCTGCATTGTAAATTTTGGTCAATGACATGAGACAAAGTATATGTGAACTGCTGTATGAAAAGTGAATTTACTCTGTAAATCTTCACCCAAATCCTAATAATAAAAAAAAAAAAGGTATTATGAAGGGAAAAAAAAAAAAAAAGGTAACCGGGAATATAATCTGATGGCATGAGCCTTAAAACTGGGGGTAAGGGGGGAACGGAAAGAGAGAGGAATAATGAAATACCATCTACTGTTAAATGTCTTTTTGCTCTTAAGGGAAAAGAGACCATGACTTTTTACACCTACCACCTGTGATAGTTCTTGGAACAAAATCCACTGCTATTGAGTCAATTCTGACTCACAGTGACCCTACAGGACAGAGAGAACTGCCCTATAGGGTTTCTAAGGCTGTAAATCTTTATGGAAGCAGACTACCTAGACTTTGTCCTGCAGAGCGGCTGGTGGGTTCGAACCACTGATCTTTTGGTTTAGCAGAACAATGCTTTAACCACAGCACTATCAGAGCTCTTTCTTGGAACATTGTTGTTTGTTGTTATGTGCTGTCGAGTCGGACCTGACTCATAGCCACCCCTCCTTGGGTTTCCGAGGCAGTATCACTACGGAAGTATTGCCCCATCTTCCTTCCGAGGAGTGGCTGATGGGTTTGAACAGCCAGCCTTCTGGTTACCAGTGAAGTGCCTTAGGCACTAAGCTACCAGAGCTCCTTCTTAGAACATAGTAAGCGTTTTATAAATTTTGGTGGTTGGGTGAGCTGTCTAGGGGAAACAGACTCATTCCAAAGTTATCATCTGAATTAGAACCCAGCTGTCTTGGTTCCCTATCCCAATTAATAGTATTGTTCTTTTGGTTCTGTCAATAACTCAGCTACTCTCGGGAGCTCTGGTAGCATAGTGCCTAAGGCACTTGACTGCTAACCAGAAGGCTGGTGGTTCAAATCCACTCCAGAAGGAAGCTACTCCTCAGAAGGAAGATGGGGCAATCTATTTCTGTAGTGATACTGCCTCGGAAACCCAAGGAGGGGTCGCTGACTCAGGTCCGACTCGACAGTACATAACAACAACAACTCTTGGTTCAGAGACATCCTCAAGTCAGTTTCCCCAGCTTCACAACAGGAGAAGCCTCATTTTTAAGACTCTCTTTTTTTGGTATTTCCCCTGCCCCCTCTTTTTGTCAGTTTATCAGAGCACTTCAAACAGTGGAAACAAATGGGACAGGAGTGACAGTCACAGATAATGACCCTAGTCTCCAAGTGGAAGACATTTTTAATTAAACCTGGGACCCAGCACAGCAAGCTCTGCCTTACCATAGTGAAAGAGTAGAGTGGAAAGGTTTCCACGACAAAATGAGACATGAGTCTTCAGAGAGCGATAAAAAGCATACATTATTATGCAAAAGCAATATCCCTAGGGTTTTGACATACATTCAACAACATTCATTCATGAACATAAACTGAGGACCCACTAGGCACCAGGCACTGTGCTAGGCATTGAATATAATTCATACATGAAAATTGATTAAAATATGTATCAAAGGCAGCCTTAGAGGGGAAAGGAAGTTACAAAAAAGCAAATGCATCCTGCAGGTTGTGTGTGAGTGAGGCAGCAAGGAGAGACACCCATGGGAAGAGTGGGTGATATTACTAATTAAATGAATATATAGCTATCTCAGGACTTGGGCAGTGCCACTTGTCTCCTAGTCAACTGAATGACACGGAGCTCAGCCTCCTGGCAAGAGAACCCAGGGTGATGTTTTTAGCTGTCACACCATGGAGGTATCTCCGGCTACAGAACATCTTAGTTCGTTGGCCTTTCTCTAACTTCCTATGTAAGTTTAGAAAAGTCAACCTCTCTAGGCCTCTGCTGTTTCATGTGTAAAATAAGGGATTGTGAGATCATTTTTAAAATGTCTGCCTACTTTTGAGTTATAAATCCAATGTCTCTATGGTTCCAATCACATGGAGCAGCACAGGGTATGTATTCACCTGGGAGATGAAAAGGAAATGGGGACTACTTTTAGTGCCTAGCCCCTATCATGTAGCAGCAGCATGTTCAAGACAAAGGATCAGAGACTGACCTGCAGCACCAAAGTCAGGACCCGGCAGCTGATTGCAAACCTTACCACCTCTTTCTGGGACGGGTTCAGGGGCCACATCCTCTCACCATCAGGAATTCAAGGGTGTTGCAGCAGGACTGAGCTCCTCAGGCTTCTAAACTCCAAAACCCAAGGAGGAAATGCCACACATGAGCCAGAACCAAATTCTTAAAAGTATTCTTCACAGAATCTCCCTCTTTAGCATTACTATGGCAAATTTAACCACCTAACTGCTCAGATGAAGGAAAAGCATCTTTAAGGAAGCTAGGACCACCTGGTGTCCTGCTGAAGGAATGTATTCTTAGAGGAAGCATGTCATACAGAAAGGCATGAAGCTGGAAAGCTAGGCTTGCAGAAAGTCTAAAAGCCTCTTGAGTGCTCGTACACAGGAACTAAAGACCTGAGTTCAAGACCTCCCTCTGTGACTCACATGTTCTCATTTAGTTCCTCTAGACTTCAGTTCTACAAAGTGGGAGTCAGACTACTTGCCTTGCCTGTTTCACAAAGTTGTCATCACGACAAAATGAACTAAAGTGTGATAAACCACTACATGAATCTATGTCATGGTTGTTATTACTTCGCGTGTACCATTTTCCTCTTACCCAGAATAATAAACTAGGTCCCAACCCAGAATCCCAAAAGTGGGGTATAGAACTGTACTGGAAGACCATAATGACCATATACTCTAGCTTAACTCTCTGATGTGTGTTCAGCTGGTCTGTTAAATTAAGTGGAGAAGGAAAAGAAAACCACCACTCAGCAGGGCTTCAGCTAGCGTATATTGCTAAAACAAACTTAAGGCGAAGACAGAGTCAGCTACTAGAGATGGAAAAAACTGTTATCCCCAATCTCTTTATTGGAATGACAGCAATCCATAAACAATTACAAAGCCATCCTGAGGCAAGGAACTACTTTAAGGTACTTTTTGCATTTCTTGGGCTAAATAAAGTAGCAATGGCTTCTACAGAATTTTTCAACACCAGACTGGGAAATCAGAAAGGAGGGCAAGAGCATCAGAGGCAGCTTTGAGGTGAAGAAAAGCTGTCTCCAACAGGATGAATGATCAGGTATGTCTAGGCAAAAGGGAATATAGCCATGACCATATATAAAGTTGGTGGATGATATTTCTATACATATATTTGTATGAGCTGTAAGTATGTCCATATAAATAGAACAGGGGCAAAGTGGTAATTTTTTTTTTTTTTTTACTGTGATTTGGGTGAAAGTTTACAGAGCAAATTCACTTTCTACACAGCAGTTCACACACATGTTGTCTCGACGTGGCATTGACTACAAAGTGAAATCTTCTTAGACACAGTCAGCCACCCTGATGGAGTGAGCTGTTGGACCTGTGGGCTTGGGACCATGGTCACAAAGGACATCAAGCTCAATTGGCATAACATGCTATACAAAAACATTGTTTTACTTCCTACTTTGGTGAGTAGTAACTGGGATCTTAAAAGCTTGCAAGGGGCCATCTAGAGGCAACAATGGGTCTCTTCTCATCCAGAGCAAAGAACAATGAAGAAAACCAAAGACAAATAGAAACAATTAGGCCAGGGCACTAGTAGACCATGCAAACCTCAGCCTATATGGCCATGGGACCAGAAGAACTAAATGGTGCCCGGCTACCACTGTTAACCACTTGGAAAGGGATCAGTGCAGGACATCATGGGTAGATTGGGAGAACAATGTAGAACAAAATGCAAAATCATAAAAAAGACCAGGTTTACTGGTCTGATAGAGCCTGGTGAGAGTCCCAAGACTATGGACCCTAGTTATCCTTCAGGTCTGGAATTGAACTCACTCCCACGGCTTCCAGCCAAACAAAAGACAGGCATATAGGGTAGACATTTACATCAGGTAGATACACTCCTTAGAACGATCAATCATAGGAGAACAGAAGGATAGTATTTGCACAGCTAGATAGCTCAGGGGGCAAGAATGCACAGGAAAGAAGGACACAGGGAAGAAGTAATTTCAGGGAGAAAATGGGAAGAGAGCTGTCACATTGTGGGGAATTGCAGTCAATATCATGAAACAAAATGTGTATGAACTGTTATATGGAAAATGAATTTGCTCTGTAAACTTTTACCCAAATCACAATTTAAAAAAAAAACAAAAAACGAAAAGCTGTCTCCAAAGGAGAAAAAAAATATTTAAACTGAAAAACTAATAAGGGCTGGAAGAACCTTTATCCTTATCTGGTTAAGTCTTTCCAAAGCTTCAGGTGTCAGTTGTTTCTGGAATTCTCTGACGCTTGCTAGACTACGTGATATATTTCATTATATGCTCCCCGTGCACTCTGAATTGTCTTCTTTATTGATATTGCTGAAAGCTGTAAGTCCCAATACACTGGAAGCTCTCTATGAGAACAGAGGCTTTGTCTAGCTTGCTCAGAAATGTATTTCCAGGGCCTAACATATGAACAGGCACTTTAAGCCTATGTTCTGAGTAAGTAAAATTGGTTAGAGTAGAATACAGCATCACTAGGTTACTGGCTCTGGATTTAAAATCACTGCCTCAAGTATTCCTCCTGCCATATCTTATGTTCAGAGCAACATGACAAAGTCACAGAAGCCACAGGAAAATAAAATTTCCTCAGGAAAGGAGCAAGGTTGGCCAATAGCAACAATATTCTTTCCTCAGCACAAGGGGGCGCCTGCTGCTCACTCCATCACCAGGAGGCCTGAAGGAAAGGAAGGGCCATGAACTCCACACCGGTTTCTCAAGTAAATTCAGTTCAAAGGCAAGCTTGTGACAAACCCAGAAACTGCCTAGTTTTGTGAATCTATCCAACATTTCCAACATCTGACAAGCTGAATTGACAGAAATCATAGAAATAGACACAGCCAACCTCACACAGCTGCTCCTTCTCTATCCTACAGTGAATCCAGTCTTTTTCCCTTCTTTGACTTCCCACCCACGTGCAGAAGAGAAATTGGGAACAGAAAAGCACTTAACGCACCTCTGCCTCTTCAGCAGGCTTCCATTCTTCCTTTACCCTCTCCAGAGTCGAGCTCTAACCTCAGCGACCACAGGAGACTTGTAGCCTACACTTAGCTTACAGGTAAACTAAGTGAAAACAAAATAAAATCAGTTTTCCCTCTCAACTAACTGCTAACCTCACATCCCAACAAACCCTTTGCCAAATCACAGACTTTTTAACTGGTAGGACACTTACAAATCAACTAGTTTCACTCTTCCATTCTTCCGTGAGGAAAATAGGCCTGAGAGGTGGGTAATAAAAATTTCCATAGTTCTTAAAATTTTTACATCAGAGATCTCACTGGACCCTGTAAAATTATTATAATTACCATGCCTACTTTATGGATGTGGAAACTGAGGCTCACTGGGGTTAAGTGACACACCCAAGGTTACTCAGAGTTTCTAGGTCACTGTTTTTTTTGCTTTTGAAACCTCGTGGTCTTCCCACTTGACTTCACCCCATCAAATGATAGGTGTTTTCCAGAGACTGGAATGACACAGGCCTCTCAATTTCTAGTAACTCACTACTTCGTCCAGTGATAGCCTTGCTAGGTATGTGTAGGGCAAGGGAGGGCCCTATGAGAATTTAGGAAAGCCTGCTGGATAGGGTCCCCAATCCCTCCAGTTGTTGCTAATCCCTCTAGATAAGGCTTAAATCTTCGGTAGGGTGGGGAAGTCACTTTGATCCAGCATCCTCAGGGTTAGAGGACTCGCAGGCCGTCCGAAGCTGCCTTTGGCCAGCCCTGCCAGGCCCGAAACTCGTTCTAACCCGCATCTCCCTGGCACACACTCCACTGGGGAGAGGGTATCAGCCTCAACCCCGAGGGGCCACGGCCAGGGGTTTATTCCTGGGAGTTCCGGCGGAACCCAGGCCATAGCGCCGGAAGACGGGGGAGGGTGGGAGCCTGTAAAGGAAGAGGCGGCAACGAGCGGTAGCTATGGCGGTGGGGCGGGGTTCTTCCGTAGCCTCCGCCTCCCTTTCCCCCGGCCTTCATTTGACAACTTCCCGCCCCTCAGAAAGCGAGGGCTCCCTAGCTGGCGCCAGGTGCCCAGCGCCCGCCCGTCCCGACCTCCCAGGCGGGGCCCGACCCTCAGCACCTCCATCCGGGGCCCCGAGCGACCCGCGCCTGCGCACCGTCCCCACCGACGACTGCCCCGCCCCGCTCCTGCCCGGACTCGAAACCACCCCGCCTCCTCCGCGGCGGCCATGTTGACTCCCGGCGAGCGGGGCGGGGACGGCGTGGCCCGACTACTCTGCGCTTCCCCCACCCCAACGCCTTAGCACCTTCCCGCCTCGGTGACACCTGAAGAGTTTTCCCTTGCACTTCACCCTTCTCCAGTCTCCTTCCCCCGCTCTCAATTAGAATGCTGGGACTGCTGTCTCAAGAGTCGGTGTTCCTGCCCCAGTTCCATCCGCAAACACTGAGTTCCCGACGTGTGTTGAGGCTCTTGAAGCCTGGCGGCCTGTTCACAGAAGCCAGAGCTGCACTTTCCCTGCTGTCAGGCAACAACAGCTCAGCACAGGGCCTGGCACACAATAGGTGTTATATGAATGGAAAGAAAAGGCTTCTTGGAGCTTCTGTGGCCAGCAGCGGCACCCTGTGTCCTTCATGTGAAGAAAGTGGGGGATCCCCCTGACTTTCCCTTCCTCGGGCAACCGGGAACCTTCTGTCCTCCTCCAGTCCTCAGCTCCACTTCAACTTGCTAATGAGGATGGTGAAGGAAACCTCAGAGAACAACCCCCAGGACTCCTTTTTCCTTCCTCACTCAGTTTCTCCCATAGGAAGTGGAGCTAAAAAAAGAAAAAAAGAAGCTAACTCAACAAAACCGTCTGTTAGGAAGGAGCGGCCAGTTGGTACCCCCCCCCACACACACACACCCTGTAACGGAAACTGTTAGAACAACTTTGCACCCTTCTTAAAGGAAACAGATAATAAATCCTTCTCCGTTGGTGGATTTCTTGTTTCTCAGGATTCCAGAGCCTTCTGTGGTTTCAGTTATCTGTTCCCCAAACGAAGCTGGGGTCTGGGTTAGCCTCTGGCCACAACCCTGCCTGAGGGAGGGGTTTATCTTCTCCAACAGCTACTAATGTGGGTGGGAACGAAGAGGTGGTTGCTATCTCTCCAGGCAAAGTAAACTAGCCCACATCAACTCTGTGGGGCCCAGGGACTGTATCTTTTCTTTATAACTCTTTGCAGGCCCTGAGATCTAAGCTGCCCTCAGATATTTGTTGTGCATAAGGGGGATAAAATACAAATTACATTTTAGTCGTTACATGTTTGTTGCGAGAGAAGGGAAAAAACCGGAGTTTAGATTGCCCTTCCCCCCATGTTCTTCAGTGACACGCACTTGTTCTCAGCTCCAGTCTGCCTGTGAGTGAAAACAGCAAACCCGGGACACATTCATGACTGAGGCCTATGGTTCTGGCTTGATCTTGAAGTTTGTGAAGCTCCAAGTAGACCTCTGTTTGCAATGACAAAACTATGAAACGAACTGTCCTTGCTCTGTGTATTCATGACAGAAGAGGACACACGTTCTCAGGATCCCCTCTATATACACCAAATTCCCTCAAAAATCTATTAGTTGAAAGGACAGAGGTCTCTAGTGACAAGTCAGAATATTTTCTGAAAGCTCAACTGTTACTGGTTAGGGGTAGAACTTAGTCCAGATCTTCAGCTCCACTTTCCTGCAATTTCTCCTTCCTTTCCTTTTCTGCTACCCTGCCCCCTCCTCTCTTTCCTGTTTCATTTTCTGGCTCCTGCTCTGACAGGAAAACGGGGAAGCTGAATCTTATGCTCTCAAAGCCCTGGCTTGTCAGATTGGAAGGAGGCTGGTTGGGATGGGAGGGAGTTCTGGGCCTCCAAAGCTGTGAGTGAGGAGTGGAGGAGGCAACTCTCCCCATTCTTTACTGTTGAGAGTCTGCAGCTAAAATGGAGCCTGCATCAACACAGGCAGCCAGCTGAGGGACCAGAACTGCAAAGAGCAAGCCAGATAGTGCTGTATCCCAGCTTTGGAAAGACCCTACACCTCCCAGCAACTTCCATTAAGAACCAAATATTCCATACTACCAAGAAACAGTTCCATAATACAAATCCCTAACCCAAACAATGCAAGCAATGCATTACTATTACCAGAATCCTAGAATGTAAGAGGGCTTCAGCATTTCTTGAACTTGTCTGACTCTTGCTGTTTCCCCTGCTTGAAACCTCTACTACCAGGCTGGCCCACTACATTTGAGTCTCAGTTGAAATGTTACCTCCTCCGAGAGGCCTACCCTGATTATCCAGCCACAACCACCATCACCCTGTACCATTTCATCATCCTGTTCTATTTTCTTCATGGCAGTTACCACCACCTGGTTATCTTGTCCATGAATTTTACTTGATTCATGGTTTGTTTCTCTCTTCTGAATGTAAGGCTAGGAGAACTGGGACTTTGTTCACCAATATATTCCCACCATTTAGAACAGTGTCTTGCACATTCTGTGTATGAGATAAAGATCTGGTGAATGAATTAATTTAATCTGATACCTACATTTTATGGATAAGTAAGCTAAAACTCAAAGAGGGGAAGTCACTGGCCTGAGGTCACACGCTAGTGGTGGAGGTGGGATTTGAAGTCAGGTCTCCAGCCTCCCAGACTGGTTCTTTCTACCATTCCACACTATTCTAATCTTTCTCAGATTTACCCCTTTCCCTGTCTTCCTTTTACCAAATGTCTAAGAGTACTTGTGGCCTATGCCAAAAGTCCTATATAGGGCACACCATCTTAACAGCTTCTACCTACTCTTTCTTCCACCAGATAGCTATCTCACATGTATGATTTATTCAACAATGTTGGCATGCCCACCATGCACCAAGGGATAAGAATGAAACATTGAGCAAGACAGACTCTAGTCCTTGCCCTCGTGCAGATGATAGTAATATCTACTTTATAGGATTGATAATGCTTGACATAAAGTAGATACTCAAAAAAGGTGGGCTGTTATAACTCCCTGAACAAATAAGAGGAGTAATTTTTCCACTGAAGATAGGAAGAAGGAAGTTTGGTAGTTCCCCTAACCTCCCAGGAGTTCCCTAACAACTCATGTCTCTGCATCTGCCATGTCTTGTTCCTGCCTTCACATCTTGAGGTGGCCTTGACCCCAGGATGGGCAGATAAACAGCCCAGTGTACCTATTCTCAGTAGCTCAGTTACTGGGCACTAAAACATCCATGGTCCCAATCTTATGCCAATGATGGGAGTAACTGACCCTGACCTGGGACGTTGGCTCTTTGGTCACACTACTATGGGGCAAAAGTGACCATATTGGCCTCAAATTCCTGTTACTGCCAACTGTTAGCAGGCAGGACTAATGCCCATAATGTCTGGCATCTGTGCCCTTACCAAAACTTTATGTTACTTCTTTTCACAGTGGATAAAAGGGCATTCATTGGCAGTTTCCAAGGATGCTGGGTGATATCCACATCTATCCTTACATCTAGGATGGCATCAATCAGGTCTTGGATATTTACCAAAAGCATCCTTTTGGCCTCTGCTTAACCACTTGAAGATGCCCATCCATCCCAGAACAAAGACACCCCCACCACCACCCTGCCTTACCACTGCAGAAGCCAAACATTGATCTTTTATAGTCATGGACACTATTTTTTTGTACCCTTCCTTCAGTGTGTCTTTCGGTAATTGGAAAATCTTGACCCCACTGTTGTTTCTCTCAGACCAGGGGCCTACGGGGGAAGGGCATAAGCCACTTAGAGGAGGCAGTGGCTGCAAGGCAAAAAAGCCAATGAGGTTGAAAGTATTGTTTAGGCCGGACTTGGCTGCTTTCCAGCTGTGGAAGAAGGTTAAGGTCATTTGGGGGGTGGAGAGGGAGGAGCCTGGGAAAAGAACTACTAGCCACACCCCTGGGTTCCTTGGGGGTGAGTTTCTATTTACTGCTCAAAAGCAAATTACTTACAGCTCAGTAGCCAGCAGTTCTCTTGGCCCCTGGTAACTACAGTCAGAAATTGGAGATCAGGCTAGGCTGCCCCTGCATTGCAGGAGAGCCGATGAAAGGAACCCAGGAAACCAAACTCCTCTGTAATGCTCCACACACAGCCCAGAAATGCACTTTCTAGAGTATTAGTGTTAGAGGCCGAGAGCAAAAATAAGCATTAGAAATCTTGCTTACTAAAATATGGATATGAAAAGTTTCCCATTTAGTGTTTTCTGGAAGAGTTCTAGGAGCGCATCTTGTTTGAGAAAGGTTAGGCAATTGTTTCTACTTCCTTCCTCTCAACAGAGAAAGGCTAACTATTCATTCCTATCTGTGACCCAAATATTAACTGCTACACTTAGTTTGATGAACACTTGGTTGATATTCCTGGGACAATTTTACCTCATGCTAAAATGAATACAACAAATCTTGCTTTTGCTGGCTGAGCTCCAGAGCTAGATCCAGTTAGCCCTGGATGTCCTTCAATCCAGGAAGCTCAGGGATGTATTGGGAAGAATGTGAGCCTTAGAGTCAGGTGGACCTTGGTGTGTGAGCTCTGACAAGCCTTTCACTTCTCTTCCCTCAACTGTAAAATGGAAGCCAGAATACGGACCTTACTGGTAGGATTATTTGTAATATTCTATATCTGGCACAAAGGTAGGTGCTTAACAGAAAGTTGTTTCAAGTTTCATGTCTAAGGGTCCACAGTAATAGCATTTTTCTGGAAAACTGAACTTGAAGGTTTCTAATATTTTTTCCTAAGGAAGGGGATGAACAAAGAAGCCATATACTGTAGCTTTAGCCTTGTAAAAGCAACTCAATCTGGTCAACATCTAGGATTTCATTCAACAACTACTTATTAAGAGGCAACTATTTTCCAGGCCATGTTACAGGACAGGGATACAGTAGAGCAAATGGCCCTGCCCTCAGAGCTTACATTCTAATGAAAGAAGACAGGTAATAGGTCAAATGGTAACAAGTGCTGTAAGAAAAATAAGGCAGGGAAGGAAAAGAGAGAGGCAGGAGAGCAGAGATTGTTAATTTTAAGTAAGGTGGTCAGGGTAAGCTTCACTGATAGGACATCTGAGCCAAGATCTGAAGGAGACAAGGGCTTGAGATATATAGTTACCCCATGAAA